AAAAAAAAAAAATAGATGGGCATGGTAGCAGGCGCCTGTAATTGCCGCTACTCAGGAGGCTGAGGCAGGAGAATCGCTGGAACCTGAGAGGTGGAGAATCGCTGGAACCTTGCAGTGAGCTGAGATTGCGCCATTGCACTCCAGCCTGGGCAACAAGAGTGAAACTCCATCTCAAAAAAAAAATACAAAAATTAGCCGGGCATTGTGGTGTGCACCTGTAATCCCAACTATTCAGGAAGCTGAGGCAGGAGAATTACTTGAACCCCAGAGGCAGAGGTTGCCGTGAGCCGGGATCATGCCACTGCGTTCCAGCCTGGGCGGCAGAGTGAGACTCTGTCTCAAAAAAAAAAACCAAAAAAAAAAAAAGAACAACCAGTAACATTGTAAATGAGAGGAGAGCCCAAGACGGAGGCCTGGAGCAGGTTCTGTGGGGTCAGACTAGGGACCAGGGCGGGCCCATTGGTTAGGATTGGGTTTGGCTAGGAGTGAAGAAAACCCCAAATAACGATGGTTTAAGCAGTCATTGGCACCCAGGCCTCCATCTAATTCAACACCGTCTTCAATGTATGACTTGTACCTTATCATCCAAGATAGCTGCTCAGCTCCAGCACTGCATCCACATTCCAGCCAGAGAAAGGCATGCCCTCTTCCTGGGAGGACAATTCTCAGTCACTGGCTGGGAACAGTGGCTCATGCCTGTAATCCCAACACTGTCGGAGACTGAGGCTAGAGGATAGATCACCTAAGCCCAGGAGTTTGAGGTTGCAGTGACCTATGATCATGCCACTGCAATTCAGCCTGGGTGACAGAACAAGAACAAGACCCTATTTAAAAAAAAAAAAAAAAGTAGGGGGAGGTTGGGCACAGTGGCTCACGCCTGTAATCCTAGCACTTTGGGAGACCGAGGCGGGCAGATCACGAGGTCAGGAGTTCAAGACCAGCCTGGCCAGTATGGTGAAACCCCATCTCTACTAAAAAATACAAAAATTAGCTGGGCATGGTGGCGCACACCTGTAGTCCTAGCTACTCAGGAGGCAGAGACAGGAGAATCACTTGAACCTGGGAGGCAGAGGTTGCAATGAGCCAAGATTGGGTTACTGCACTCCAGTCTGGGCGACAGAGTGAGACTCCGTCTCAAAAAAAATTCCCGGATGATTAAGTTCTACTTGCTGGAACTTAGTCATAGGGCCACATCTAATTCCAAGGAAGGCTTGGAAATGCAGTCTTATTCAGGGGATTAGGGTGCCTATTAGCAAGCACAAGCAGGAAGTGACTACTGGGGGACATGTAAGCTGTGAATTTTGGATAACTGGTCAGTCTGGCTGATGACTTTTTTTGCCTCTCAGAGGCCATCGCCCAAGTCTGGCCAGGCTGATGGGACCAGCGAGGAGTCTCTGCACCGTGACATTCAGAAACTGAAGGAGAAGAGGGACATGCTGGATGAGGAGATCTCCCAGTTCATATCTGAGTAAGTTTCATTGGGTTCCCCATCATGGTTAAGATAACTTTGGGCCAGGCATAGTGGCTCACGCCTGTAATCCCAGCACTTTAGGAGGCTGAGGCGGGCAGATCACTTGAGGTCAGGAGTTTGAGACCAGCTTGGCCAACATGGCAAAACCCTGTCTCTATTAAAAATACAAAAAATAGCTGGGCACGGTGGTACGTGCATGTAGTCCCAGCTACTCCAGAGGCTGAGGCAGGAGAATCGCTTAAACCTGGGAGATGGAGATTGCAATCGGCTGAGATCACGCCACTTGCACTCCAGCCTGGGTGATGGATTGAGAATCTAGCTCAAAAAAAAAAAAAGATAACTTTTAACTCTCTAACTGCCCAGTAACTGAAAAACCCAGTCGCACTGGCTTAGCATAGAAATAGGACTGTGCACTACTCGGGAGGCTGAGGCAGGGGAATCGCTTAAACCCGGGAGGTGGAAATTGCAGTGAGCTGAGATCGTGCCACTGAACTCCAACCTGGCTACAGAGCACGACTTGGTCAAGAAAGAAAAGAAGGAAGGAAGGAAGGAGGGAAGGAGGGAAGGAGAAGGGAAAGGGAAGGGAAGGAAAAGAAAGGAAAGGAAAGAAAGGAAAGAAAAAGGAAGGAAGGGAAGGGAAGGGAGAGAGATGGAGGGGAGAGGGAAGGGAGAGAGGAAAGGGAAAGGGAAGAGAGGGAGGGGGAGAAAGGAAGGAAGGAGGGAGGCAGGGAGGGAGGGAGGGAGGAAGCAAGGATGGAAGGAAGGACGGAAAGACGGACAGACGGATTATGCTTCTGGATTCAGGACATCTCAGCAGCCTCTCAGGTAGTGAGATGCTTAGGCTGTGGGAGGGCCTGAACTGGGACCTGGAAAGTTATCTGGGATGGAAGCTGTTGCTCTCTCAGTCTCTGGAGCCATGTTCTCCGCCTCTACTTCCCTCTGCACAGACTCCTTTCTCTCTCTGCAGGTAGAGTTTTCAATGTGTAGGGGAAGCTGGCTCTTGAACACCTCCTAGAGTTCCCCACACCTCTTGCTCCAGCCACATGGCAGAGACTAAGCTGCCTTTGAATGTGCATGTCACACTTGAAGGAATCCACCTGGCTGTTTGGATCATGTGCCCATCTGCGAGTCCCTCAGCTGTGGCCAGGGTCACATGGTACCATTGGAGCTGGAGACCCCACCCTAAGGAGACAGGGCATGTTTGCCAGGAGTGCGGACCTGGGAAGATGCCCTGCCCTGCTGTAAGCTTCATGAGGGCAGGGCCTGTCTTGCTGTCACCATATCCCTAGTACCTAGCACCAAGTAGGCCCTTACAGATGCCTTATTACTGTCTGAGCCTGGGGTCATCATCTACTTTCTTAACTGAGCTGTCTTTCCCCCTCTCTCCATTGCTCATCCCAGAGGCTACAGTGTGGATGAACTGGAGGACCACATTACCCAGCTTCACGAGTACAATGACATCAAGGATGTGGGGCAGATGCTGATGGGCAAACTAGGTGAGTAGTTGGGACTGCAGAGCCACAAGCAGGCATCACAGGGTGTCATCTCGCCTAGGGGTGTTGGGTTTTGCTCCTGGGCCTCCTAACTTGCCAACTCTCACGCCCTCCGCAGGTGGCCTGCTCCTGGGCTGCCCCAGCCCCTCTCCTTACCAGCCTCTGGTCTCCCTGGCCACCTAGGTTTGTTCCTCAAGTACAGAACCTGCTTTGGAGCTGCAGCCAGGTTTGAGCGGGACTTGCCCATCTGCCAGACTGAGGACTCAGGGTCTCCCCAGTCTTCTGGGGCCTACTCAGAGTGATCGAGATACCATCCATGCCTCAAGTGGCTGGCTTGCTAAAGAGGCAGCAAGTGCAAGGGTGACCCTTTGTGACTTAAAGAAGTATTTTCTTCCTCCCTGAACAAAATCTTGCTATCTAGAGGGCTTTAGCCAAGGCACCAACACCTGCGTGTCATGCTGGCTAGGAGAGCCTACCTTGGAGGTGACGAAATGTGCAGGTGGCCCCTACAAACCCTTCAGTTCCATCCCCTAGCTTGGAGTGCTGGGCACTCTGATGTTCAGCAGCCAGTGACCAGCAGCCAGGGGTAGTGTTCAGAGCTGGGCCGTCTGCCCAGTTGCTGTGTGAGTTTTGGCACTTGTTGCAGAAATGCCTTCAGCATCCAGGATTCCACGGCAGGGAGGGCTTCTCTGTGTTTCATTGGACAATGGGCCCCAAAGGAGGAGAGAAAAAACCGGAGGCGGGAACTATAGATGGATAAAAAGATGGGGGTGATCAGGGCCCAAGAAGATGGGGGTGTGAGGGGAGTGTAGCCTAGTGGTTAAGAACACACGCTCAACTGGGCACAGCGGCTCACACCTGTACTCCCAGCACTGTGGGAGGCCGAGGCAGATGATCACCTGAGGTCGGGATTTCAAGACCAGCCTGACCAACATGGAGAAACTGTCTCTACTAAATATATAAAATTAGCCAGGTGTGGTGGCACATGTGTAATCCCAGCTACTCGGGAGGCTGAGGCAGGAGACTCACTTGAACCCGGGAGGCAGAGGTTGTGGTGAGCTGAGATCGTGCCATTGCACTCCAGCCTGGGCAACAGGAGCGAAACTCCATCTCAAAAAAAAAAACAGGGCTGGGCTCACTGGCTGGCACTTGTAATCCCAGCACTTTGGGCACCCGAGGCAGGCGGATGACAAGGTCAGGAGTTCGAGACCAGCCTGACCAACACAGTGAAACCCTGTCTCTACTGAAAATACAAATATTAGCTAGGTGTGGTGGCATGCGCCTGTAATCCCAGCTACTCGGGAGGCTGAGGCAAGAGAATCTCTTGAACCCAGGAAACGGAGGTTACAGTGAGCCGAGATCACACCACCGCACTCCAGCTTGGGCAACAGAGCCAGACTCCGTCTCAAAAAAAAAAAAAAAAGAACACAAGCTCTTAGTAGCGAGAATCAGCATGAGGCCTGTCACTTCCAGGTCATATGACCTGGAGCCGGTGGCCTCTCCCTTTTTTTTTTTTTTTGTTAGACTGATCTCACTCTGTCACCCAGGTTGGAGTGCAGTGGTGTGATCTTGGCTCCCTGAAACCTCCACCTCCCAGGTTCAAGCGATTCTAGTGCCTCAACCTCCTGAGTAGCTGGGATTACAGGCATCTGCCACCACGCCCGGCTAATTTTTTTTTTTTTTTT